AGAATAGATTTTGCATAAATCTCAAAAAGTCGAAATACCTCAAAAATCCAAAATCAATTTTGGAAACATGTATATACCTTAGAGAAAGGTCATGTCATTGATAGATATCCAACATTTCGAATTGATTCATATTTATTAGCTTCGTCCATATCCATAAGGAAAAGTTTCATTGGAGGTAATCCTTTCTTTGAGTTTTTTTACATGTTTATTTTTATAGAAAGGTAATATATATTTCTTAATAATTTTTCAAGAAATATTAGTCGATTACTTGTTCCACATAACTCGCAACTGTTTACTTTTTTTACCTATACCCCATTCACATCTAAATACCATGAACCATATAATAGCAATAATTAAGATAAGTAACATATATGCCGATAACAGTGACACCAAATTACTTGTCACAATAGGAATTGCATCTATTCCTCTTACCGAAATCTGCGGATTTGAATTTATATATGTGTCTAGTATAATATCTTTACTAGTTTTGCTATTATTAGTTTCAGATGCGTTAGCATCCTCATTCCATGAGTCACTTACCTTGGGTATAGGGATGTCTCTGTCATCATCATCGATTTTTTCAATATCTTCTATATTTTTTTTTGCGTACAAGATACGGTCTGAGACTATTGCTAGATTCATTATTTATAGATATATTAGATGTGAAAACATTCTCACTCTGTAAGTCAGACTTGACTATATTTTTTTCCTCATCTCCACCAACTATTGTGGAACAGGTCAAAGAGTCTACAGGTTTTGATATAGCCTCTGATTTCAGGTGATCGAGTTCACTTCTCACATGCTCCAATTTATACATGCCACCCAAATTCAAAATCCAAATGCCGAAATTCCAAATGCCAAAATCCCAAATGCCAAAATCCCAAATCCCAAATCTCAAATTATGATTAGTATTTTTTGCTGAAATCCCAAATCCCAAATTTCAAATACTAGTAATTTGAAATTTGGGCAACACGTATACTCCAATTCAACTTCTATTTGTTTAAACTCACCCATTTTAGATTTAAGAAATAGATTCTCAGATTCTGTTTTTGATAAGTTTTTCTGAATCAAAAATGCGTCTTTTTGAGCTGATGCTAACTTACCTTCCAATATCTTAATTATAGCCTGAAGTGATTTTATTTCTTTTAATTATATATCATATCTGACTTTATACTTATCATGGGAAATCTGTGATTAGGTAATCTGGGATGTAAGATTAGTATTGTTTACTTTTAGTTGTTTAACCTCATCTATAAGCTGGAATGCATATTTGGAGAGTTTTTCTTTATCTTTATTGAATTGTTTTAGATTATATTATATATGCTTATTTTCTTTATCCAAGATAGAACATTTATTAGCAAGTCGATTATCACATTCTATAGCAATTTCCTGATCTTGATTTACGCAAACAAGCTAATTTTCAAGTTCTGTTCAGCTAGACGGATATCGATTGATAGGCATGTCTCCAAGTTTTTTGCCTTTACCTATATCTGATAATGTATAAATTTGTGACATATCGAATATACCTTTTATAAAATAAATTAAACAGTAGATAATTAATATTAATAATACCTATAATTTACAAACTACCGATTATCATATATAGTAGAACTATGACTAGATATTTAAGATCTGATGCACCTCTATTTTCTCCTGAAGATTATTCTTATATCTTACAGTGTCGTGATAAAAAACCAAGATATAAAATTATAAATGAATTGATGACTCAGTATAAAACATCGTCAAAACGTATTTATCAAATATGGAGAGGACAGGAACGTTCCATTGACCCCATGCTTAATACGCAAAATAAATCTTTAGACTTAGCTTTTCAGACCAATATAACTGAAATTTCACCAGTAGAAAAAAAGAATCTGATTGCTGAAAACCTTATTGATTTATGTACTGAACCACTAATAGATAATGCAACACTCAATAAGAAATCATCTGATATGATAAGTTTTTATTGCACTGCTTGTGGTCATGCTAATCGAATGTTAACTGAAGATATTAATCAAATACTAATAAAAAAAAATAAATCAAATAAAGATTAGATATTAATCAATATTTATAAATCGAATATTTACCGAAATAGAATTAGTTATTAACCGAATAAAGATTAAATATTAACCGATATATCTAAATCGAATATTTACCGAAATAGAATTAGATGTTAACCGAATGATATAGATATATCGAAACAAAATTGGATATTTACCGAACAGTCTAGATATGTATCGAAACTAGATTGAAAAACTTTCGAATTTATATCTAAATATTTTTTTTTATTTTTTATAAATAGATTATGACTCAAAACTCTGAAAAAATAATTCGATATCTGCGATCTGATGCAACTCCTTTATCAGATGATAATATACAAGATATCATTAATGCCAGAAATTCGATGAAACGTGCATCAGAAGCTATGGCTATCAAATATAAAATATCAACAAGGCGTGTATATCAAATATGGAGGGAAAACCATCCACCAATAGATCCTAGAGAAATGATATCTCAACCAATTAATATAGAGTCGATATCATCAACAAAAAAGAATAATCAAAAAAAGAAGGTTAGTATAAATAATGTAGAGACAAAGCCTTATTGCTCTGTAATAAATCATTCGGAAGTTTTATCTAATGAATCAGTGAAAGTGGTACAGCCAAAGATTCGAAATTCTACTTCTTCACATGCAGTAAAAAAAAGTGTCTCTTCTATAGATAATACATCGAAAAGAAAGGCGGATCTTGAAAAATTAATAAAAGATACTGATAGATTGGCACCTATAAATCCATCTTTGTCTCAGTAAGTTGAGAACATCTTTCTGCAAGAACTTTA